ACCGCGCGGGCTGGCCAGCCTCAGAATCATAGGCTGGGCTGGGCTGGTGGTGGGAAGCCCAGCCCCAGTGGGGACAGTGGGGGAGAGCACAGCTCTGGCCCGGGCTGGAAGCAAGGATTGCAGCCACAGACAGGGCTGGAGGCAGTTGGGCCAGCGGCCAGGAGTGCAGCACCAATCAGGGCTGGTGCTGTGGGAAGCACAACCTCAGTCAGGGCTGGAGCAGTGCTGGAGTCAGCTAGGCACTCAGCCCTGACTGGCACCACGGTGGGATAGGGGAGGGCACAGCCACTGCCTGAGTTGGAGGCAGCGAGGCCAGTTGGCACAATGAGAGATGCAGCCCCGGTCAGGACTAGCATAATGGGGGAGCTGGAGGCAGCAGCAGGAGGCAGGGAGTGCAGCCTCACCCGGAAACGGAGCCTTGATCTCCCCTTGTCCGGCAAACTCCATTGTTCGGGACCCGAGGGTGCCAGACAAGGGAGGTCCGACCCGTAGTATTGCTTACATGTTACATGTTAATGTGGAAACTGAACAAAGCACATGATAAACTATGGATTGAAGAAGCAATTGATCAAATAATTAGTAATATGGTTTAATTTTTAACACAATGGAAACTGGCAATGTTTCCATAACAGTATTATTTAAATGCATTATTTGATATTTTTTTTTAAATCCCCAAACAAACCGGCATAACACAAAAGTACAATTTTGTCACAATTACAAAAGCTGCAGAACTTAAGAAAAATACCTTAAAATGGAAGCGTAACATAGCATTCTGTTGAGATACAGATGTATGTTTGTTTCTATTTAAGTTTCACCATGTAAATTTAGAGCGTACTTCTTTCCTTGATCCTTTGTTCAAGATTAACTCTTCAGCAGAATTTTTAAGGATGCCGTCCTTTTCATCTAGTACATGTACAACAGGTTTAACTGTCCTCCAAAACACTCCTGTTTTGGAGTGTTTTGAATTCGATGGCCTACTAATTAGTGAAATTTTAAACATGTTTTATAATCTTAGAGTTCATTCAAAATAACTGAGTGGTCATTTGAATCATTGTGTTTTTTGAATTGGGGATAAATTAATCTGAATGGTTGTGTTGGATCCAAAATGGAAGACTGTTCATAGAGGGAAGTGAATTCTTTGTATTAGTTGTTTGTTTTTCATCAATATGAATTGTTCAGACTGGGACATAATTCTGTATTTAGTAATTTTTTCATCCCCTTTCTCTAATGGAAATGTAAACTAATGCTATTTACCTGGATGTGGTGTGATCAGAAGATACATTAACTTAGGCATATTGATGATATACAGGCAGTCCCCGACTTACGTACAAGATAGGGACTGTAGGTTTGTTCTTAAGTTGAATTTGTATGTAAGTCGGAACCGGTACATATTGTAGGGGA